CTAAGGCCCACTTGACTTCACATTCCAGGATGTCTGGCTCTAGGTGAGTGATCACACCATCATGATTATCTGGGTCATGAAGATCTTTTTTGTACAGTTCTTCTGTGTATTCTTGCCACTTCTTTATGTGCATAACTACATCATGCCAAAAACATTTCTGAAAATGCTTCTAAACAAGCCAGCATATCTGCCTGGCTTCCTCTAAGGGGTGCCATCCCAGTACCCATCCTCGTGCTCATGACATTTGTCCTGTGTCCTCTTGTCTCTCTCAGGCCAAGCTCCCCTGTACCTAGATCACTTGATCACCCAGAACTACCACGAACACGTTAGGGGCTGCCCTTGAAAGGTGACACACAAATAAAGCGTCATTCACATAGGTCACGAACAACCATGCAAGGCCCTCCAGGGGTTGGTGGAGGGCAGGAGACATACAAAAGGAATGAGAAAAAATGGTGCCCTATTCTGTGAAGAATCTGTTTTTAAAAGATATGGTATTAAAAAAAAAAAAAACCTTTCAACAATCCTCACAACACCTTAAGGAAGGTGTGTCTCCTGAACACACCATGTAATTCTATGTTTTCACGTCTTGGCTCATGCTCAGCACTCTGCCTTCAGCTCCTTTCATTTTCACCAGCAACTCTGTCTCTCAAGCTTATTCCTGAAGCAGATGCATTACCTCCTGCTGCTTTCCACGGCTCCCTAAAGCACGTACCTAACCCCCTCGCTAGGCTTCGCAGCACTTACGACAAGCCACCACCACAACATGGAAACCAGGGTGGGACCGTGTCACGGGGGCCATGAAGGTGGAACTGAATGGCAAAGACAGACATATCCGGTATTTCTGCATTGATTTTTAAGGTGATTCAGACAAAAAAAAAAAAAACATTTTGTACACCAAATTCAAAATTCCATGGATATTATTGTGTGTGTGTGTGTGTGCTAAATCACTCAGTTGTGTCCAACTCTTGCGACCCCGTGGACTGCAGCCCGCCGGGCTCCTCTGTCCATGGGGTTCTCCAGGCGAGAGCACTGGCGAGGGCTGCCGTTCCCTCCTCCAGGGGCCCTTCCCGACCAGGGGTCGAACTCCCTCTCTCACGTCTCCTGCACTGGCAGGCAGGCTCTTCACTTACCACTCGTGGCACCTGGGAAGCCCTTCTACACCATATTATTGTTTAGGAACAGACTAAGTATGCGAGTAATGTATATTTTTTAAATACTAAGAAATAACAGTCCAAGTGGACTCTACATGGATGTACAGTGACGTGAACAAGTATCCATGAAGCAACACGATGGGACGTGTGTCTCTGGAGCTCCCTGTGGTGGCCGGGGTGTGCACAGGGCCTGACATTTGTGGCGGGTGCAGGAATCACATGTTGAATTGCTGGGAATGAAGGACTCCAGTACAAGGTGCCACCCTCTCTATATACACTACTACCTGCATCAGTGGTTCTTTATTTCTAGAGCACCTGTCAGGTAATAGCAGCCTGCTCTTGCCTTTCAGATGACCCCTGTCATACTGTTTTTTTCCCTTTATTTTCCAGGTAAAGTGTTGATATGCAAACGTCTTCACCTCTGGTCAGGTGCTTTCTGCACTCATCTCTAATGGGTCGAGTTCCTGGGCTGTGACATTCACCAACCTCTACACTGTCAGAAGAAATCCTCCAGCACTGATAAGGCCCTGGCTTGGCAGCCTCTCTGTGTCAACCTCAGCAGTGTGTCCCTGGACCTGCCCATCAAGGGAACTCCAACTTACATTGTACACTCTGCCATCTTCTGTCGTGTAGATCTGTGGAAATAGGCCGTTTGCATACCGGGAAGCCACAAGTCTCCCCAGAGACATCACATAATCTGCATGTATATAAAGAAAAGCAGTCAAAATGGTACAACATCAACATTTATTTTTATTTCCAAATGCTTATCTCTGACATCAAATTGTATCTGTGATGCTTAGAGTTCTCTTCTAGATAATGAAGTATTTCCAGGCACTATGATAAATGTGACTGTTATAACACCAAATGTATGAATGAATGGGAAGGAAGAACAGTGTTTATTTCTTGGTCTCTTGGGTCTTTTGCCCAGAACAATTAAGGCAGAGGTCAGAAAGATGACATAGAAGTTATGTTTAATTCCAGAAATCTTTTATTTGGGACTTGGATTTAGTTTTCAGAATTTTAAAAATTAAACCTAGGGGCTTCTCTGGTGGTTCAGTGGCTAAGAATCCACCTGCCAATGCAGGGGACGGGTTCCATCCCTGCTCCTGGAGGATCCCACCTGCCATGGGGCAACTAAGCCCATGAACCACAGCTGCTGAGCCCACACACCCTAGAGCCCGTGTCCCACAACAAAAGAAGCCGCCTCAGTGAGAAGTCCGCACACCACTAGAGAGTAGCCCCCACTTGCCACAACTTGAGAAAGACCACATGCAACAACGAAGACCCAGCACAGCCAAAAATTAAGTTAATACAAATTTTAAATATTAAACTTAGATATCATCTATTGTTCTCTCAAGGAGGAGGTTGTGAATGAGATGAAGCAAGAGTCAAAATACTCATACAGACTGTCAAAACCACTTTCTTCTCAGAGCATATGCACAGCTGTTCAACATCAACCCCATAAACCCTCACTGAACACCCACTATGTGCTAGACACAGTGTTTCCAGAATGGGAATACAATGCTTCCTGAAACATGGTCATTGCCTCACAGAACTAAAAGAAAGTTTCATGGACTAGTTATGACTTGGAAAGACAGAGATGAGGTAAGGCTTCAGGAACTGTTTTTATTGTGATGATTATTTTGTTATTATTATAAATTATTAAGTCCCAAAAGTGGTGAAGAGAATGGTGATACTCTTGGATCCAACACTTCCTTTCCTCTGCCTTTCTAGGGAGGCAGGGTCACAGCCTGCTTGGGAAAGGCAGGAAGGGCAAGGCTACATTTTATAGGCTAGGCTTGGTCCCAAATCACCAGCAATGATAAAATTTATAAGTCTTGAAGTTCAATGTCCATAATAGGAAAGAGCAAAGAATGGGTACTTGAATTCTGTCAGCAATAACCTCATTCAATAAATCTCTCAAACTCTAAAACCTTCATTTCTAAGATTTCAACATTGTGACTGACATTTATAGAGCAACTTCACATCACCAGCAGCATTCTGTCTTTACCTCAGGCATTTATCTGGAGTCAGGAGAGAGGACTGTGTTTTTGAGAACTGAAGGAGATGAATTTATGTAAGACTCCATCAGCGGTATTGCCAATTAAAATGAAAGGCATTGTGAATTCCTCATTCAATAATTGTGAAGTAGGTTTTATTGGCTAACTCTTACATAGAAAAAAAAAAAAAAAAAACCTCTGGACAAAATATTTAAAAAGTTACTTGAAGGCACTAGAGAACAATCAAGAACAGGCAGAAATGGGAGTGGCATTAATTCTTGAAAGAAGTAAATTGGTGAGTTCTATCAGATCTACACCCATGAAATGATAAGTGGATAAACAAACTGTGCAATAATCATACAATTCATCTCCTGACAGTAACTGACCATAAAAAGAATAAAGTTCTGGTATATGCTACAACATACTAATAGATGAATCTTTAAAATATCATGTTAAATGAAACATATCAGTCACAAAGGGGCTTCTTGGCAGAGGATGAGATGGTTGGATAGCATCACCAACTCAATGGACATGAATATGAGCAAACTCCCGGAGATAGTAAGGACAGGGGAGCCTGGCATGCTGCAGTTCATGGGCTCGCAAAGAGTCAGACATGACTTAGCAACTGAACAACAACAACAAAAACTGGTGGCTCAGTGGTAAAGGACCCACCTGCCAATGTAGGAGACTTGGGTTCTATCCCTGGGTCAGGAAGATCCCTTGGAGAAGGAAATGGCAACCCACTCCAGTATTCTTCCCTGGGAAATCCCATGGACAGAGGAGCCTGATGGGCTACAGTCCATGGGGTTGCAAAAGAGTGGGACACAACTTAGCAATAACAATCAGTCAAAAAACATCCCATATTATATGACTCTATTTATATGAAATGTGCAGAACAAGCAAATCCAGAGAGATAGAAAGTAGATTACTTTGGTCTGGGGCCTTATGGGCAGGGTGTATAGCTAAGAAGTACAAGGTTTATTTCTGAGGTGATGAAAATTTTCTTTAAGTTGACTGTGACGATAGTTGCACATATCTGTGAATATACTAAAGAATATTGAATTATACATTTTAAATTGGTTAATGGTTAATGGTATAGAATGTGAATTACATCTCAATAAAGCTGTTATTTCTGATAAAACAGACATGAGAGGGACTTCCTTGGCAGTCCAGTGGTTAAGACTATGCATTTCCACTGCAGGCAGCACAGGTTTGATCCATAACTAGGGAACTAGGATTCCACATGCCACATAGCATGATCAAAAACAATTTTTTTAAAGTAGATATGAGAATATAGCTGGGTTTTTTAAAATTAATTTTTATTGGAGTATAATTGCTGTATAATGTTAAGTTTCTACTATACAGCAAAATGAATCAGTCATACCTGAACTAGCGGTCTTCTATTGGGATAAACATTAAAGAGATTTGCAAAAATGTAAGACAAAGCCACTCTTCCTGCTAACATTTTTATTTTAAAAAATTTACTTATTTTTCTTGAAAATGTTATGCTACCATATAATAGGTTTGTGACTTTTAAATGAACAAATATTTTTAAAGGTTTTAGTTTTAACTTCCAATACAACAAATATATAGACATAAAATGCATATATTCTAAGTAGAAGAGATGAAAAATGAGCATATGATATGAACATGTATAAAGGAAATGTAATGAATAAAGAAGCATCAGGGTAAAAGTATTTACTTTCCCTGGTGGTTCAGTGGCAAAGAATCCTCCTGCCAATGCAGAAGACCTGGGTTCAATCCCTGGGTCAGGAAGATCCCCTGGAGAAAGGAAATGGCAATCCCCTCTAGTATTCTTGCCTAGAAAATCTCAACCCATGGGGTGGCAAAAGACAGACATGACTGGGTGACACTCTAATGACAAAACAAAATGACAACAACAATTCTAATGACAGTGGTTTTCTCATCAGAAATCATGGAGGGGGCTTCCCTGGTGGCTCAGTGATAAAAAATCCACCTGCCAAAGCAGGAGACCTGGGTTTGATCCTTGATCCGGGAAGATCTCACATGCCTTGGAGCAACTAAGCCTATGGGTCACAACTACTGAGCCTGTGCTCTAGAGCCTAGGGGCTGCAACCACTAAAGACGGCATGCCCTAAAGCCTGTGCTCCACCACAGAGTAAGCCACTGCAAGGAGAAGCCTGGACGTCACAGCTAGAGAGCAGCCCCTGCTCTCCACAACCAGATAAAAGCCTTGCAACAACAAAGACCCAGCACAGCCAAAGAAATCATGGAGGCCAGAAGGAACTAGCTTCTTTGTTTCTTTGTTTTGGCTGTGCCTCACAGCACATGGGACCTTAGTTCCCCAACCAGAGTTGGAACCTGTGCCCCCTGCAGTGGAAGTGCAGAGTCTTAACCACTGGACTACCAGGGAAGTACCCACACAGTCTCTCTTAAGTGCTAAAAGAACTGTCAATACCAAATCTTATACCTGGTGAAATTACTCTTCAGGAATGAAGGAGAAATAAAGATACTGTCAGACAAAGAAACTAAAAAAAAAAAAAAATGTTCCCAGCAGAGCTATTCTCATAGAATAAATAAAGTTCTATAGACAGGAAGGAGATGATAAAAGAAAGAACTCTGAAACATCAGGAAGCAAGAACACAGTAAGTATTTACACATATAAGTATGTGTAAATAAAGCAGACTCTTCTTGAATTTTCTAAATTGCTTGATGTTTGAATAAAAAACTACAGTACAGCCTAATGTGATTCTTAATGTACGAAAAAATAAAGCACATTAAAAATGAGGCGATTAAAGGGACATAAAGGGAAACAGATTCCATTCTTCATTCAAACTGGTAAAATGCTGATACCAGGAGACTTTGATATGTTACATATTTATAATGTAATACCTAGCACAACCACTAAAAGAGCTGTATGAAGAGATACACTCAAAAACATTACAGATAATTTTTTTTTAATTCTGAAAAGTGTTTAAGAAACCCAGAGCTAGGCAGGAAAAAGAAACAAATGGAAAACAGACAAAAAAAGAAAACAAAAAAACAAAATAGCAAACTCGTTAGAGTTGTATCTATACCATTTGTATTTAATATAATTATTTTTATGTTAATACAAATTGAATAATTATATTAAATACAAATGGTATAGATACAACAATTAAAAGAGATTAGCAAACAGGATTTAAAAACTGATTAAATAATGTGTCTGAGAAACTTGCTTCAAATATACTGACATGTAAGTTAAATGGACAAAAATGATGTCATGTAAATATGAATAAAAACAAAGCAGGGTTGACTGTATTAATGTAAAAAAAGTACACCACAGAGCAAAGAATATTACTAAGGGTAGAGGAGGACATTATATAATTATAAAAGTGTCAATTCACCAGGAAGACTTTGAAATTCTAAAGGTACATGCACTAAACAACAGGGACACACATATGTAAAGCCAAGACTGATAGAACTGAAAGTAAAAATATACAAAGCCACAGTTGTAGCTGGAGATTTCAATGTCACTCCTCTCAACAACTGATAGAATAACAGAAAATCAGCAAGGATACTCAACAACACCATCATAAACAGGATCTAGTTGGCATTTATTTTTTAAAATACAATGTTCTATACAACAACAAAAGAATACACATTCTTTTCAAGTACCACAGAATATATACCAAGATAAACCATATCCCAGGCTATCAAACAGACCTCAAAAAAT